AAATGTGTATCCTAGTCGGCCTGGCTTTTCATGCGATGGAGGAAATACAACCCCAATATCATTGTTGCATCTATCGTTAACCCGTCAGTGGTAGAATTCTGAAATACCAGTTTTAGTCCTAGGAGGCCTCGCTATCGTTCCAACTGACGGTGCAAGTATCACACCATTGCTTCTATCGCTATGACAGTGATAAATCAATCTGTAGTAGTGATTATTCGCCCTAAGTGATCCCAAGGTATTAGGGTCATTGGCTCTAGGAGCCTCAATGACCGCTCGATTAGTATGATTTCAGTATGACCACTTGCATAACCTGAGGTTAAACTAACCCATCGGGTCGCGTGGGGGCCCAAAAAAATGCAAGAATGGTTCGGTTGGACAAAAGAATGCCAAACACCCGAAACAAATCAAGAGACAGATAATAGTGTTCAAAATCAACAAAATACATTCTTTTTTTATTAACTCTGTTACACTTTTCACTCACCAGGCGTACAATAATAAGGAACTAGCAGCAACTACCATGGTTATGATAACAAAAGCCTTGTGAGCGCAGGTTTATCCCCACACTCGGGGATGGACATCTCATGAAGCGAAGAAATTGGTGAAAGGCGTATCTAAACCTTCACTGCGCCTCTAGATCTTTGCCACGAGCAGGAACGATGCCCGAAAGAAGCCTGGGGAAGAACCACCTCACGGAACTTCCTCTAACGTCTGAAAGGATGAGGAGCCCCACAAGGAGCCCTGCCCGCGCCGCCTTCTTCAACGTTGGGGAGGAACGCTTGGCGAAGAGTCAAGGTTCCAAGCCACCGAATCGATACGTAAGGGGTTCCAGGTCAAAATCTATGGGCTCAAAGGCTTCCCTACAATAGCAAGCTATAGGACACATTTGCCCTCTAAGATTTCCTTTAGATATTCTCACCTGGAGACCCCAAGCACGCAGACCATGTACGAGTCCAGCCGATGATCTGGGCCACCGATGGTATTGTTTCTTCCCATCTTTGTAGAACTTCCTCTAACACCGAAGATGAACGGCCATCAGCAGGCCGCTGCAGAACCCAATCTTGAAAGCTTTCAGCAGCGGTGGAGTCACTGAGATGTGCCATAAACCATGGTGCATGAAAGGGGTTGCCACTCTCTCACTTAGTCAAATGCTAAGGGATTTGGGGGAGGGGTGAGACTCAGCAGCCTCCCTCCCCTCGGCTTAAATAAGCGCCCTAAAGATGGTAGTGGGAGAGATGGTGGTTGGCATTAAAGCCAGTCGCAATCATCCAGATGGTTCCATGAATAAAAGCATGGGAAGTGGAGCAGTTTAGGTTCCCAGGCACCACGATCCTTATTTTCAACAGATTCAATGACGCGCAGTAGTCATCCGTGCATTCAAACCAGGGGAAGAACTCCACCCGCAACTCTCGAAACCCAAGAAGGCATCACTGCTAATGAGCACAATGCTCAAAGTCGTCCTGATACTCAGGACCTGTTGATTGTATTCAAAACACCTCGGCACCCGAGGAATGCTCATCGGGGCTACAGCACCCAAAGGTTGCAGGGATCTACTACACATAAAGGATTACGTAACTTTACAAGCTTGTCATTAAATCCTACAGGGGCTACTGTCGGATATATGGGCCTAGGGTACCCTCACCAACCATATATCTGGCCCGTTGAGTGGAGGACGTCAAAGGATGTAGCCCACGAAGACCAGGCAAATCTACCAGATTGAAGATCATGAAAGATCGAGCATATCTGGCGCCATCATGTCAATGGTAGGATAGAATTGATCTGTTGTGAAAAAACTAGGAATCCAATCTGCTAAGCCAATCGCCCTCATTGAAACCCTACCCTCTCTACCTATATAAAGGAGGGTAGGGATCTCATGAACGGGATCTGATCCATCTCATTCCAATCTACTACGTAGCTAGAAGCAACAACCCTTGTAACTGGGCCTACGAATACAAGAAGAGCAACAGCACCAACTGGACTAGGGTTTTATGCGCCACCGTGGCCTGAACTAGTATAAATCCTTCTATCTCATGTGTTACCATCTGATTCCTCTTACACTATCACATTGCTAGGCATTGTCAGAGCTCAATCATCTGACACCATGTCTCCTAATCTTCTCCACCTAGCCACATGACACCATGTCATGTCTCATATGCAATGAGCTCCTTTATCATAACTAGTTCACCACTATCAACATGAACAAGCCACTTCTCCACTATGGCTTTAAGTGTTGCTCACACTAGTGTACCCGCACTAATCCTCGTGTATCTCACAACATGAACACATGTTAGTCCACCTAGGTCATCACTCAATTACCAAAATCAAACTAGGGTCTTTCAAAGCAGCATCGACGTCCACACCAGATGCCCCCAATGGATAGTTTCCAACGGCTATAAAACTAGTCATTTGGCTTGTCGACGTCCGTGTGTGATACGCTCAAAGTGTGTGTAAGTGCTCGAGGTATCCCAAAACATAGCCATTGGAACCCTAGTCCGGTGCGACATCCGGTGCCTTCACCAAATACGTCCGGTGAGGACTTTTAAACTATCTTGCGCTTTCGGCTAGAACCATTGTTCACATCCAGTGCGTACACATCTGGTGCACACAGGACTCCTCTATGCTTTGCTAAAAAACTGGCTAAATCTAGGCGCCAGCCGGCGCATCCAGTGCCATGTCCGGTGGTCCACCAAACACGTCCGGTGCCTGCTAAACAGCAGCACCGGTAGCACTCTCAACTCTTTCGCAAATGTGCCAACTCTCAAATGTTTTGCTAAACATGTTAGACGAGAGTTAGCATTTTTTCAAAGTGTTTTCACAAACATTTTTGGCTTGCTCTCCAACATGTCACTTAGGCCTAAATGCAAATGCATAGATCAAACACCTAGTGGCACTAGATGACCAAAGATTGCTAATTAGAGCTCCCTCTAAATAGTACAACATCTATCCTAAACCCGAGCACACACTCTATTGCGTCTTGACTGGCAAAATAAAATCCCTATTTATACCTTTGCCTTCACAACTTGTATTTTGTTTTTTTTTTCTTTCTTCTTTATCAAGTGAGAGAACTGTATGGGTGAATGGAATCGTTCAATGGATGATGTTGTAAGCTGTGTATCATGGTCATGGACTCATGGTCGTGGTGGCTGAACAAAAACTCGAGTTCAGTAGTGGATCAATCAATTGATTATATTCTCCATCGTTAAATTTATATGTACCGTGTTTATTTCATTCTATAAGTATGCAAGTGATGTGTCATGGCCACCATGTACTGTATTTTTGTGCTTTGGCTCGCGAGCAAAACGAGCTAGCTCGAGCTTGCTAGTGAGCTGAGCTGAGCTAGTCCGCTGGCTCATTTGTATAACGAGCCAATCCATGCCAATACGTTAATGAGTGAGCCAAGCTATAACGAGCCGAGCTGGCTCGATGTCTAACCCTATATGTTGATGGTCCAAATTAATCTTATATTTTAATCTTGCAGTGTTTATTATATTCCTCTTAAATTAAATTTAATATTTTATATATACTTCTTTATAACTACTCCATCCGTCTCGATATGGAATACACAGAGTATTATGACTTCTAAAATATGTAAATAAAGCATTCTATATGGTGTCCATGCTTAAATTAGCAAAGTTTGTTAAAAATGAAACCATAATTGAAGAAAAAAAACTCCTTAATTGGATATAATTCAAGGGTACTGTCATCGGTTTGATCCCGTGGCAGTGATTAATGATCCGATCAATGGGTTGATGCATGTGACTTCAGTGATTTAGCACTCAAGGCACAAAGGATATATCCTGGTTCGAGCGTCTAAGCCTTACGTCCAGAGCCAATTTCTTCGTGTTAGAATGCTCAATCGAGTTCTTACAATAGGAGAGAGATGGTAGGAGAGCGCTAGCTGAGTGATCTAGGGTTTCTCAGATGATGTGGGGTTTGGAGGTTTCCTTGGCGCCCAAGGGGATTCTAGGGTTTTGTGTCCTAATCTTCGGTCGATGGCGTCATAGCTCATTGTTGGTCGTGGCCAACAACGCTGTACCGCTTCTTACATCCTCTGCCAGAACTTGGAGCTCAGGCCAAAGGAGCCGCCTGAAAAGCGCCGTGGGGCCCTTTTGTCATGGGCAAGGTGGGTTTCCACATTCGACCCACCTGTGGGCGCGGGGTCTACTGATAGTCCTTGATTTCCATTCCTTGCTGTTGAGTAGTCATTCACCGAGAACTGAGGGGATTGTGGGGGAAGGAATGGATATCACCAGCGAGGGTACGCAGTGTTCGGATTGTGGGGGGAGGAATGGGTATCTCAAGCGAGGGTACGCAGTGTTCGATACAACTCCAGTCGCCTAGGAACCCTAGGTGCCAAGACCTTCTCTTCCTTTTTAGCTCCGCCACTATCTGTGCTACACTACCCGTTCATCACATCCTTTTATCATCGTGTATAAACATGTAACAGACATCAATCAGTGAAGCAACCGGTTGATTCTAGCATTCTTGTTTAATCTGTCTAAGTACATTAGACTCTAAACAGTTTTCAACCAGTCACATATTGCTTGGCACTCTGCTTTTGGTACAGCCAAAGAATTACCGATGACGATTTGCACGTTTAAATAAAACAAAATACCCCAACAGTTTCTCCAAGATGCCCCTGCCTCACATTGTATCAATGGACAATGTCCACAACATATCAAATTCAGTTTCCTTAGATAAAACGATAACACCAATAAGCATTAATACAAAGTTCATTTTTCTTTTTCAGGTGCCCTCATTTATGAAATGTGATAATCCTTGATGCTTACAGTAAGCCTCAGCGGCCGAGTTCATTACTTGATAATTCCAGTAAAAAAACAAGAATCGAAATGCAGCTCCTTATAACATAATGGTACAAACAGGTAACCAGAAAAATGGTAGTGAACCAAGTTATAAGTAAAGAAAATAGTTTATCATAACTGACTTCTCGACGGTCATAGCTTAGTTAACTACGGGGCTGACATGGGCCAAGCAGTGCCAGATTACAGGTCAGCTATCTTCACAAGCTTTGGATAGATTATGCGATTGTCCCTTGCAGAATTGCTCTCAACAAGAGCAATTTGAACCAAGTCCTGCAGATGGCAAACAGCACGCCACTGTTACAGTCATTACAAATTAATCATATGTTGAGCAACAAGCAGAATCATAATAAATGCTTTGTTGAGCACCCCATTGTTAGACAGTCATTACAAACTGAGGATATGTTAAGCAACAAATAGAATCATCCTAAATGCTTGTCAAGAAGAATCTATGTTTGGCAATTGTCAACAGACTTGGCTTTCAACAACCCCCTTAAACTACTGTTTGGTTTGATTTACTCCCTATTTCAGTTGATCCAATTTACCCCTTAAGAAGATTTGTATTTTTGTTTCTCCAAGTACAAGTTGAGTTCTAATTTCAAATATTGTAAGATGATAAACATCACATTTTATGCTAGGAATGATTACGATTTTTTCATCATGTTACAATTCTGTATCACTAGTGTTAATTTATTATTGCATTTCCTAACCTATCAAAATAGTGACGAAATGTTTGTGATGTATTTGGAACATAAATTATAATGTCCATCACCTCAAACTCAACTTGTGCATAGATAGAGAAACCAAAATAACACATCTTCCTTAATAAATCGAACAATTGAAATAGTTGGAGAAGCAGGGGGATGAGTAAATCGATCCAAACATCAGTTTAGGGGATATATCTAGACATAGGCAAAACTTGGGGGGGTTAATTTAGACTATTTCCAATCAAATATCTCACCTTCACGTCCCTGCTTGATAAAAACTTCCCCAAGTTGTGAAGAATACATTTTAAATCGTCCACCTACAGTTGTGAAATAATGATAGTCAGTGACCACACGGATCAAAATAGTGGGATTGATTTTGAAATAATAGGTCATGCTCGCATAATACCTTGAGATATCCTGCTCTATTTATGTCAAAGTACCTAAAGGCCTATAAGATCAAGGCATTATTAACTGTCAGACCACAAACCAAATAGACCCTTAATGTTTCCCATGCATCAGAGAAAAACAAACATTACCTGCAATAGGTCCTTGTCGACCACCTCATCTTTTGCTGGCTTAACCTCCTTACTGACTACCTTTTCTCCACCTTCCACCGAATCTCCTTTCTCTGCCACGGACTGCTTTTCCTCTATTGAAGCAGCTCTTTCATGGATATTAGTAATATTTTCTACCTCAAGCTGTGTTGTACTTTTGTTATTTCCACCATCTGCTGTCGCTACTTCTTCTGGCTTCACCTCTCTGTCGTTTGTGTTCTCATTCTGTGCCACAAGAAAATGAGGTGCCACGGATAGATTAGGCATGGTTAGCTCTATGGAACTAGCTTTGTGTATCTCTTGCATAAAGTTGAAACTAAACATAAAAATAGTGAGATGATATTATATGTGAAACCACACAATATGACAATGCTACTTAGAAAAAACTAAAATGTAAGATTGGATAAAGGCAGTCTCAAGCACTATAGGGAGGAAGTAGGCTACTGGCCCAGATGACCTTGACAGTGTAGGTGATTGCCACTATATAAGCCCAAGACTTGATTAGAACAGCATGGTTAACTTCCATATGTCAAGGAAAAGAAACTTATAGTGGAATTTTAAGAAAACACAAGGTAATAAATGACAAGTCGGTTCAAATAATGAAGAGCTGAATCAACTAGGTCAAAAAAAATGCTGGAAAATAACCTGCTCTGCAATCTGTTCTTCAGCATGAGCATCATCCATGTCCTCATCATCTTCATATATTTCTATTTCTTCAGGATCTTCCTCGTATTCAGGATCTTCCTCCTCCATATTTGCATCAGCTGCAGGTTTATCAAGAACAGCCTCTGAATGATCAGTGCTCGTATTTTCATCGCCCTCTTTTGCTGGTTCACCATGGTTAGCAATTGGATGATCGGTGCCAAGTTTTATCTGACCCTCTTTTGACAGTTCAGCATGGACATTTGCTGATTGATCTGTGCTCATCTTTTCTTCACCCTCTTTTGTTATTTTAACACTGCCTCCTGGATTATCAACACTTTCAGTTATAGTCTCATGATTAGTCTTGGATCGCTTCTCCGAGGATTTCTTCTCTTCTTTCTTTAGATCTTCCTCTCTTTGGCGTTTACGTTGATTCCTCTTCGCAACATAACGCCTGTACAGTTTCTGCGAAGGAAAAAGAACATGTGTCGAAACATATCAATGTGCCAAAAGGCCCAAAACATACTGTGGATGAGCATGGTCACAAAGCGCGGGGTGGGGTGGGGTGGGGGCGATGAAAATAGTGACAAAACCAGTGCATCTTGGGTCCTAAAAACCTTCACCATATTAGACACACCACACCCAATTCATATTGCAAGAGTTATTCAATAAGTCCAAAATGTTTGCAGATTTGACACATACTGAAATAGTTTTAAGAGTCGCTGTCTTGAAAAAGAGCACCTTCAGTCTCACTTGTAGTGGTAAAGCACAGAATAGTTAACCCATGAACAAAGAATCAGAGAGCAGCCACTGAATTATCAAATACTAGTGAGCAGCTGATCATTCAGAAACAAAGCATAGAACCATTAGGTTTAGAAGGAATGCATGAAGAGGCTGAAGGGGACCACAGAACTGATGAATAACCACAGTACAATTAAGTCTCTGAGACAAGTCACTAGAATAATTACAAGAGGAGAGAATTATTTGAAGCTTAGCTAAATCATTTGCAAAGCACAAAGAATGTACCTCAAGAAAAGACAGGATAACACAACCCATTCTGTGTTGAAGCATTTCACCGAATGACTCAGCAAACAAAGAAAGCTGAAAAAGGAAAACAAGAACAGATCAGTGTACATCTACATGAGCTCTCAAACAAAAGAGATTTCATTGCTGCGCCATGCTCAATTGAACCAACTAGGTAGAAGCAAAAGATATAAATAAGTGGTAGTCTCTTTTGATATACTAACAAAAAGTAATTACAGAACACAGACCTCAAATACTGACTCCTCTATATCCTTGGCAGTATAGTCTAAGAGGCCATCCAACGAAAGGGATGTTGAACGGAGCTGCAAAACAGAATTCCTTAGATAAGATATCATGGACAATTCATCCGAGTATGTTTGGATAATAGGATTATATATATATATATATATATATATATATATATATATATATATATATATAAGGTTAAGTATGTAGCATGTTACCCATACTTTAGATTCTTTATTCCTTTTTGCCTGAAGAATGAATCCTGGATATTTTGGAGGTTCATCAGACCTCTTCTTTTCTTTTGTGTCATTGAGTGGCTTTTGCTTTGGATCCATCTTGAGGTCTTTATTCTTCTTCTCTTTATCGTCCTTTGTTTTATCCTTCTTTCCATCCTTTTTCGTATCTTTTTTGTTCCATAGCTTCCTTGTGATTGCCCTTATCCTCATTTGAACTGCGATCAGTCAATGGGTGTTCCTTTTCCTCTGGCTTCTCTTCTTTCTTCTGATTTGAGATATCTTCTCCAGATGGAATTTTTGACCCTTCTTGCAGCTTAGTCTGAGGATTTCCAACATCGGTTGAGCTCTCAACATTTTTATCTGGCTGAACTTCTGTTTCTTGCTTACTAGTTTCAGCAGGTGTAGCAGGGGCAGTCAACTGAGAACATGAACCAGAAACTTTCCTTTTAACAATCCTTCGAATTATTTTCTTCTTTCCAGTTTTCTTTGCTTCGGGCTGTTGACTTATGCCAGCTCCCTCTTGTTCTTTTCCAGCATCCTCATTCTTTTGTTGACTCTGCCCCCCTTCTGCAGTTTTGTTTGCAGATTCTGCTACAGCATTCTTGTCCTCAGAAGAAGATTTATCAGCTGAAGGTCCAGTTGTTTTTTTCCGAACAACTTTCACAACCTTTTTTATTATTTTCTTTTTTGTGGGCTTTTTATCCCCAGCTGCATGGTCAATAGAGGAGTCACCCGTAGTTTTTCCTTCAACATCCCCACCCATCTTCTGAACAGGTTCCTCAACTTTAACCTTACCCTCTCCATCATTATCTTGTTGTTTCGTATCAGCATCACCTTTCTCATTTTTCATATCACTGCAACCAAGATCACCCTCTTTTAATTGATCAGCATCTAACCTTTTACCCTTGTTCAGCTCCCCTGAAATTGTTAACAAACGTCTTCAGTTTTTCTCTAATAACAGACAGGTAAAAAAAGAATTCCGTGAGATGCAACATGGAAATCTTGCAAACCTTGCATCTGCTCTTTTGAATCACCAGGGCTCTAAAACAAGCAACAAGGATAAAAAAAAACTTTTAGTGAGAACTCCAGAGAGAGAAAAAGTTATTCACCAAATCAAAAGGCCATAATAGAGCAAAGTAACCTTTTCCTTTTTAGCAGTGAGCTGCTCCCTTTCTGCCTTTGATTTTTTGTACAGAATCCAGTTATTCTTCCATACATCCACTGAAGGCAGGCATTCCGACAAGTTTGGCACAAACAGAACAGTAATTTCTTTATGACTGAAGAGTCCATCTTTGCCTATTCTCTTGTAATGTACCTGCATGTTTAATGATGCATTCAGTTAATATTCCATCAACATGCAGTGAGAAGTGGAGGGACTACCAGATACATACAAGTAATATACAGATGTACAATATCCCAACCAGTTGTAACCCACAGGCTACCAATTGTACTGAAATATGGATAGTGTGCCTATGTTACAGCTGAACTTCAGCAAAAACTCTAAAGAATTTGATATCAGGGATAGACAGAAGCAAAACTTCGAAAGAATATTGAATAGATCAAAAAATGCAAATTGGCTCAAATGTTAAGGCATGATTTGACCATTGTTTTTGAGGCGTCGCCTAATCGTCGCCTAGGCGTCGCCTAGGCGCCAAGGCGTGCTCGAGGGCCTAGGCGTCGTCCTCGCCACGACCTCAGCCTGTATGGCGTCCGCCTCAGCAGATTAGGCGTCGCCTAGGCACGAATGGCGTCGGGCGGACGCCTAGAGCACTCCGGCGGACGCCATAATCTAATTCGCAGGGGAGGGCGCGAAATCGGACGCGGCACGGGGAAGGGCGCGAAAATGACCGCGGCCCGCGGTAAATCGACCACGCGGGCGCGGGAATTGCGACCTACGCGCGGGAAATCGACCGCCTGAGCCATTACCGCGAGGGGGGCGAGGGGAGACAGACCGGGAGAGAAAGAGAGAAGGCGGCGGGCGAACCTCCTGCTCCGCTTCGCTGCTCCTCCGCTCGCCAGCTCGAGTCCACCGGCCGGCCTCCCCTTCCGAGAAGAAGCTGCCCAGGGCGAGGGGAGACCGGGAGAGAAAGAGAGAAGGCGGCGGGCGGACCTCCTGCTCCGTTTCGCTGCTCCTCCGCTCGCCAGCTCGAGTCCACCGGCCGGCCTCCCCTTCCGAGAAGAAGCTGCCCGGCGAGGAGACCGGAGAGAAAGAGAGAAGGCGGCGGGCGGACCTCCTGCTCGCCTGCGCATTGCCTCCTCCGCTTCGCCACTCGAGTCCACCGCCGGCCTCCACCGAGAAGAAGCTGCCTCCGCTCCGCCACTCGAGCCCCTCCAAAGATTTGCCTCCGGTCATGCGCTGCCGCTGTGGGTATGCCCCCGCCTACTCTGCTTCTGTGAATATAGTAATGCCTCGTATGCCTGCTGCTCTGCTTTTGATCTGAATATTGTATGCCTCGTTCTCATGCTCTGCTATTGACCTCAATCGGAATATTGTATGCTCATGCTGGATGCCTGTCCCTGCCTCCTCCCTTCTCTAATATTTATTCTGCACTTTGCTGTCTGCTCTGCTTTTGCTGATGCTTGCTTTTTATATTATATGGGTACTCACATATACAAATGCCTGCTTGTGCTTGGGCTGTCACACACCCTGCTACAACACAAAGCACAGATCTTTCTTTGATCCCAAGACTGATCCAGCAAGCAACATGGCAAGCACAGTTGAAGTACCTGAGTATGATCCCAAGACTGATCCAGCAAGGAAAGCAAAGTCCAATGATCCAGGCTGGAAATATGGCTACTGGCAGGACCCTGCTAGGAGAGACTGGGTGACATGTATCCTGTGTGGACATGAGGGTTCAGGAGGCATAAAGAGGTTCAAGCAACATTTGGCTGGTGGATATGGAGATATTATCCTTTGTCCAAAAGTTAGCACTGAAATCAGGAAAGAGATGGAAGCTTACTTGCAAAAGAAGAGAAGAAGGCCTTTGTACTTGGATGGTATTGAGGAGGATGGGGAACCAGAAGATGAAATTGTGGAGGTAGCAGCTGCAGATGTACAAGCAGCAGCAGCAGCAAATGCCACACCAAAAGTGGCTGCAAAAAAACCAAGTTCTGGGACAGCCGCTAAGAAAAGGCATGCTATCTTCCAATTCAAGGCTTCAACAGCTAGCAGTGTCAATTCTACACCAAAGACACCAAAGACCAATGCAACAAAGTCAGTTGTTGGTATGCTTAGAAGAACACCTGAACAGATAGTAGATCAAAGGCGTGCAAAGGACTTTCAGCCCACCATTGAGTCCAGCACAAAGACTAAGGAGGAGAAGCAATATGTGGATATGCAATGGGCACTGTGGTTCATGGAGTGTGGTGTAGCCTTTAATGCAGCAAATTCAAGGCAATTTGAAATTGCTTGTGAGGCAACAGCCCAATATGGTTCAGGGTACAAGCCTCCAACTAACCAGCAGCTTGGTGACCCTTTGCTCCAAGAATGTGTTAAGGTGACAAGTGACATGAGGAAGGACCATGAGCAGGCCTGGAAGCAATATGGTTGTACACTAATGTCAGATGGATGGACTGATATGAGAGGGCGCCACCTGATTAATTTTCTTGTGAACAGCCCTGAGGGAACGTACTTTCTGGAGTCAGTTGATGCATCAAGTGAAGTTCATAGTGCAACAATGCTAGCTGATTTGTTACAGGAGAAGATTGAGGACATTGGAAGGGACAATGTTGTTCAAGTTGTGACCGACAATGGCGCTAACTATAAGGCTGCTGGTAAGATCTTGATGGATAGGATTCCCACACTGTTTTGGAGTCCTTGTGCTGCACATTGCTTGGATCTGATATTGGAAGAAATTGGGAACTTGAAGGCATTCAAGAAACCTATTGCACGTGCTAAGCGTGTCACCAACTTCATTTATAGGCATGGAAGGCTTCTTAGTGCAATGAGGGCTCAAACAGGTGGGACTGATCTTGTTAGGACAGCAAAGACTCGATTTGCCACATCATTTCTGACATTGAAGAGTTTGTACAAGAACAAGGATGCCTTGAAGAGCTTGTTTGTTAGTGAAGCATGGACTGGGAACAACTTGTGTACAACTGCAGCAGGTCAACAAGTGCAAGACATTGTGCTATCTACTGAGTTTTGGAACTCAGTAGAAGATTGCCTAAGAGCTTCAGCCCCACTCTTAATTGTTTTGAGGGCTGTTGATGGTGATGAGAAGCCTGCAATGCCAGAGGTATGGGCTCTAATGAATCATGCAAAAGAGAGGATAAAGCAAAGCTTCAATATACCAACCAAGGATGGCCTACTCAAGAAGATCATGGAAATTATTGAGAGGCGTTGGGTGAAACAAATGGACCATCCATTGTATGGGGCTGCACTATATTTGAACCCGGGAAAAATTTTTCCTCTGATAAAAGCTAATGATGATGTCACTGTTGGGCAGCTAAGAGGTTGTTTTATTGAAGTGCTTGGAAGAATGATACCAGATGTGGAAACACAAATGAAGATCAATAGGCAGGCCATTGAGTATGAAGAGCAACGTGGAGAAGCCTTCTCAAACAAAATGGCAAAGGAAAGCTATGACAAAATGAATCCTCGTAAGTGCTGTTTATCTCAGCTTGTAAATTTCAGCAACTTAATTGCATTCCAAACACCTAATATGTGTTGTCCTTTTCATCCAGTTGATTGGTGGCGTTCTTATGGTGGCCGAGCCATTGAACTACAAAGACTTGCTAAGCGTATAGTTAGTCTTTGTGCTTCATCCTCAGGATGTGAGAGATGTTGGAGTACCTTCAGTCATGTGAGTATCCTTGTGACTAACAGTTTATATTTAGATGCATACAATCTGATTTTTTGTTTTGCTTCCCATCTGATTTTTTTGTAGATGCATACAAAGAAAAGGAATAGGCTGCTGCACAAGAGATTGAATGATATTGTCTTTGTTTCATACAATCGGAAGATGAGAACAAGGTTTCAGCTTAGGCGTGAGAAGGCAGGCAAGAAATATGACCCCTTGGTCATTGAGGAGTTCGATTGGGACAATGAATGGGCTGATTCATTGCATGTGCCTGTTCCGGGTGCTCGAGGGTCTGATGCTGTTGATGACCTCACATGGCAGCATGTTGATGAAGCCATCGGTGCATCACAAGCGCTGCAGGGTCGTAACCTTCCTAGGAGAGCTGCTGCTCCTGTTCAGTATTACAGACGCTCCAGAAATGTTCCTGCTGCTGCTGCTGCTGAAGATGGCGAAGAGGAAGACGAAGTTGAAGACCCACATGATGATGCAGAAGTGAGCGAGTGTGAAGAAGCTGGCAATGTTCCTGCTACTGATCAAGACGACGCTGCTGATCTTGATGAGTTTGATGATGGATTTTGAGTGCTGAAACAGAGATTTGCACTCAGCCCTTTTGTGTCCTACACCCTTGTCCTGCACTCATGTTGTATGGCTTTGGTGTAGTTGACTAGTAATTAGAATGCTTTAGAGTCCAGTACTTCAGACTTTCAGTCTCTAAGTTTGTGGACTATTAGAGACAAACTGTGATGTCATTTGTCATGCTCATGCATGAACTAATGCACTAAGCCACTAATGCTTGCTAATTTGTTGTATTGCCTCTTGTGTATTGTTTCTTATTTAATTCTCAGCAGCTGGTAACAATGTAACATGTTCATTTACATTTCTTCATGTCATAGATTGCTGAATTTTGGAATTGTCATGTAGTTTGCTTCAAGGGGGATGGATGCTACATGGGAGAAGAGCTTTTGGAAAGGGAAGAAAGGAACCTGGGCTCCAGAATTGGGAACAAACCAGGTATGTATGTGCTGCACTTACTATATAAAACTCTAGCTTACGGCGCCTTACAACGTGTGTATGGCGTCGCCTAGGCGTCCGCCATAAACGCCTAGGCGTTGTGAAGGGGGTCGGGCGCCGCGCCTCGCCGCGGCGCCTCAAAAACATTGGATTTGACTTGGCATGGCTTTGTAAGTTGATTTGACCAAAGATTTCTCGTGGTATTAGTCCCCAACTAGAAAATAATGATTATAAGTGCACAATGAAATAAAATTCGGGTGGTAGCACTTTCCTATTACTAAATCTTTATCTATACGTAATCTGATTGTTGGTCTAAACTTATACAAAGTTTAAAACTTGATATGCATCCACACCTCACAAATTTGACATACGGAGTAAAGTGTTGGTAATTGTATTGGCCAGTTTATTGTATTAGCAATAGTTTTCTTAATCCTGAATATTGAAGTGCCTGAACCGTGACTTGGGGCTCTTAGTGGGTTTCAACTCTAGTCCACCCCAACTTGCTTGGGACTGAAAGGCTATGTTGTTGTTGTTGTTGTTGTTGTTGTTGAGGAACATTTCATAACCGTTCTTTTGGGTTAGACATTGTAATCGAACTTGCAACATTACAAAAGGCAGCAACATCATAAATAGGCTTGTTTCTCTTACTAAACAAAGGAACATACATTTCTTAAATTGAAAGAGATGGACAACAAAAAAGGGTAGCAGTGTCGGTACAGGATATTTTCCATGAAAGATAGCATCCAGTACATATAAAGTTTTTTTAAAGTGCTGAGAAATATTCACAAGTACCTCAACAAAACGGTTCCAGTGGGTGCAACTAGATAGATCAACCTGAACCATTTCCTTAACGCATCTGTCCAAGTAGGATAATATCAGTACAACTGCAAGTTCGTCATCATACCCTGTTTGATAACAGCATACCTGATGGCAGTTCGAATCAAGCAAGAACAGTCAACTGATGGGTCACCACCATCTACTGCTGCATTCCAAGGGCCTCCAATTGCAAAAAGAGAACGATCCTTCTTGAATACAGCAAATTTTAAGATATTGTTCAAGTGCACAACTCGTTCCTCGGTACTTCTCAGTGAAGTTATGTCAGCAAAGGCACCTTTGCTCAAGCCACTCATCAATAGTACCTGCACACCATCACATTTATAAGCAGCACTGCAACAGGATAATAACTTGGAAATGATTTCTATACTTCAAAAGTCATATAACAAAATTTGGTATTCCATATTGTGGTTATCATCCGAAAGTGAGATAAGCACAAGTAAGCATATCAATGCCAAAAAAAGAATAGTATTTTAATGCCCTTGGGTAATTTAAGGCAGCACACAAAGTTATGCACTAATCTATTTGCACGCTGTATTGTTCTCAATTTCTACAAACATGAGTAGCAATACTGCTGTTTTCTCAAAACCATAAAATACTGCTGCAGTTTTCAAATACTGTGGTCTTTCAAATACAACATCCAAACAGGCCTGAAACTATATGCCATATATTTCCTTCAGATTCACTTATACCATGTACGACAGTATAATGAGTTACTCCAGATCAGCAATTTATCTACTGACCACAAGAGTTACAACTTGAAACATGTACAAAAAAAAATTCCTAAATTGAAGCAAATACAAAACTGTAGATAGAGACCTTTGCATTCCAAATGGTGGCTGGAGTATTGAAGCTTGATGTTTTCTCAGTAGAGACAATTGCTCCTTCATCAGTACCATCATCTGAATCAAGGATATCATGCTCCAAACTGTTTCACAGCAATTGTGACAGTGCAAATAGTAAATTGAAAACATGAGAACTCCAAGAAGGAACACATGTATAACAGTATTTATGCATAGTAATGTGTTCCCAAAAAAAGGCATACCTCACTGGCGTATGCAGAGGAAGATTTAAGTTTTCTTTAGCCCAGTTCAAGACAATCTGTGCAACAGCAAATTATTATACAAATTAGAGTGACAGAATGTCAAAAGCCATGTTAAATATTAATCAGAAGCAAAAGGTCAATGGACAGAATGCCCAACCTTAGAAAATTCTGGAGTAATTGCAAGTCTGGGATACCGTTTTGTCAAGGACAGATAATCCCTCTCATCATCCACGGGCGAAATGGCAAAACCTGCAAATAACATCATAGTTAGCATTAAGTTCACAGCAGGATGCAAAATGAAACAACCCCATAACTGTACATAGAAAAGTGTCTTGGTGAAACATTAAATATAAAGGGAAAAGAGAACGGAAAAAGGAAGACAATCATTCATGGCTGCTCAATCATATACTCTTGTGCAATCAAAGATTAAGGTAAAGGCATAAAACGCTTTTCAAATTTCGTGGAGTCATGACATTCAATATCACAAGAAAAAAAAAGATAGCAAAGATTCTGTACCAGGGAGAGAGAAGCCTAATAGAATGGCAAAAGGAAGAACAGATGAAGATGGAAGATGGACCAGAACCAAGGAACCTTAAGATCAGAATGCATCAAGGAGGCTAGTGAAGAACTAACAATGTCAACTGATTTCAGCAATAACACTGACAGACACAGGTTTCTATTTACCTTGCAAATATATTCTCTCTTTATTTCTTTAACAGGTGAACGATGCCTTCAGCACAACAAATGAAAATGTTAGTTTAAAAAGCTGCACGAAAGACGAAGCAGCAACCTATTTCATCCACAAAGCTGCATAAGAAACATGGAAGTCCACCTATGCACAGCATCACGTCGAGGGGAAATTCGCCCGCACAGGCTTCTCAGATCTAACAGAAGAAGAGCGCCGCTGATCACCAGGGCCTCTAGGTGAAGTGAGCTCCCGCCTTGGATCAGCTCCATGCTTCCTATCCCGCTCTCTCTCCTTCTCCCGGCGCTCACGAAGGCGTTCTCTTTCACGCTCTCTTTCACGTTCGCGTTCCCTTTCTCTTTCGCGTTCTCTTAGTAGTCTTTCATGATCCCTTTCCCTTTCACGTTCTCTTTCTCTTTCTCTTTCATGGTCTCGAAAGTCCCGTAACTCGCGCTCCCGCTCCCGTTCGCGTTCCCATTCAAGCTCCTTTTCTCGTTCCAGCAGTAGGTCCCTTCTACGTTCTTCATCTCTTAGATCCAGTTCACGACGATAACCAATCCGATCAACTCTACGATCATCAACCATTGAGACGCCTGGATGTACACGGGGTAAGATGCTATCTCGGTAATCAGGATCTGAAGATGGATGGAGGAGGCCTTTCCCCGAGGCATAATCACGTCCAGGAGGAAGACCTGCGCCATAACCAGTACTTGATGAACCTTGTCCATAGAGGCTGTCAATGTTTGTCCTTGGAGCTCCTTCCAACAATGAGGCTGCTTGCTGTCTTCCATATGGAGCAGTCCCAAGAATGGACATGTTGCGATTATCAGCTTCAACTCTTCCATATACACCAATTTCCTGGGATGCTTGATGGACTGGAGCAGACCTTCCTGCAAAGTAATCGGCTTGTCTGCCAGAAATGCATACTATACTCAGTGCATGCGCTATGTTCTATTGCAGTGATAAACACACAAATGATTGCTACTGATTTCTTCCAAGAAAATCAATGAGAAGTACCAAGACAACTAACGGAAACAAAGACTACGGCAGAAATTGTTTAGCAAACACATGGTCATTCAATTGATGCACTGTTATATCATGTGTGACAGAATTCTAACAATAATCAACAACATTCTAGATTCATTGCATATAACCTGACTGAGATAGTGTACCTCGTATCAGATCCAGGCTGCAGCTGACCTTTCAGGAGCTGCTGGTGCCGCATCGATGAACCCTAGGAAATTAACAGGATCCAATAGACATGTTATTAGAAAGAACAAAACAGCATTCTGTAAGTAGGGAAACAAAAATCTACCTGCTCCATATGATCATGAACCTGAGAAAAAACAAAAGGGTTACAACAGTGCACTGATTATTTATACAATCTAGAGAAAGGCAAAAAGAAAAACAGAGAGAGAAAGAAACCTGATGACCAGTAGCTATCTGATCGGTGTATCTTCTATCCAAATCACTGAGGCCATCTCTCCTACCAAGATTGGCTGAGTGTTCACCATACATCCTTCTCTCTAGTGGATAATCAGTGACATATTGGTCTAGCTTCTGTGCATAACCACGCACAGCCATATAGTCATCATTTGGTCTTGCCAGGCCAGACACCACAGGTGCAGATGAGAACTTGGATGACTCAGCGAGCGAAGTTGGACGAGTTGGCAAGCTAGGAAGACTTGAAGAAGCTGGACCTTTGCCACCAATTCCACCAACCTGTTGAAAAGAATGAGGATGTTCAGTTGAGATACTTGGCAACAAAATTGTGGGAACCACATGCAACTGCAACAGTATAGTTAAAGGTCATGAGAAATGAACTCTAACCATAAGAGGAAGTGACTGAAACAGCTGAAACATGTGATTGGCAGGGATTGACATGAGCAAAAGGTCGCTTGAGTGACTAAAACAGGGGCTAAACACAGCTCAAATAACAGAAGTGTACATGAATGGTTGGCACAAAGGGCGTGTTTGGTTCCCACCTGAGCCGCTGCCGCCGCAAGTGTGGCCACGCCGTGAGTGCGGCGGACAAAACGGCCGCCCGACTATTGGCGAGCTGGGGCGCGCGTTTTGAACTGCAGGCTGCGGCGTGCACCAAACCTGCGGCAAAGTGTGGCGGCAGCGTTTGGCTCCCGCGGCGTGCCGCATGTGCGGCGCGGCGGCCTGCGGCGTGGTTTGGAAGCCATCCAAACACGCCCAAATTCCTTCATAGGCTCATAGCAGACACTACTCATGGTACGAACTTAGTATTATATGCTTTTAAATAGCCAGTTATATAGATTTAAAATGCAAAATGCAAAAAGCTTAGCAGTTTGGGAGTCTATAACTTGACGTAAAATGCTAGCTGGAGGTGATGACATAGCTTAGCATGTTTTGTACAGGGGAACCTAATAAATGGATTTTTTGTTAACCAACTTCTCTTTCTACAAGTATTTCTTGTTCCAAAAAGTGTAGGATCTGATACACATTTTTTTGCTTAAATTGTTGCACAAACTGTTCTAAAATCATCGGTTAGTGGAATTGATGGACAGTTGTTTTGCATAATCCGAACAGAAGATGACCTTTTCCACCTACTCCCTCCGTCTTAATATACAAGGGGCAACTCCCCTATACACACAGACCAAGGAATGGAGTTAATCCAAACACCACGTCAATTAATCAAAGCACTAAATGATTTGGCACCGGTGTATATAGAGTACTACAGTGCAGGGGCAGGCCAAAATAGAGCTGAGCATTAAATTTTGCACAGGTACATGGGCACCAAAGGGAGTCAGAAGGACGACGCGCCCTCTATTATGGGACTTCAAATAAAAACAGTTACCCCTTATATGTGGAGACAGAGGGAGTAACTTCCAAAAAAGAAAATTTCATTAAGCCCTTTATTCTTGTGTTTCAAATTGCAACTTTAAACGATAAGACGAGCATATATTAGAAATATAAATCGAGCTTTTATAATTCAGATTAGCAAGGATAGCCAAGCACACATAGAAATTCTGCCAGCAATACTTCACAAATATTTAATTGACTAGACTGGAATCAGCAATTCTATCCCAAATGTCCATGTTAATCCATGAGATTTTCTAGTGCCAAAAACAATGCAACTTTGTAACATTTTGACCCTATGACTACAAACAAAAGTATTGGACTAGCAGCTACTCCCTCCATTACAAATTATAAGACGTTTTGGCTTTTCTAGATACATTGCTTTTACTATGTATGTAGACACAGTAAAGGGGGCAGACCCAGTGCCGGAGGCTCCCACATGAGTGGGGTCTGGGGAAGGGATAAACCGAGACAAGCCTTTCCCCCGCAAAATTTGCGGAGAGGCTGCTTCGAACCCACGACACAGTGACTCAGTGAGACAGCTCTCACCACTGCACCAGGCCTGCCCTTCATGTATGTAGACACAGTGTGCGTAGCAAAAATTATGTATCTAGAAAAGCTAAAACGCCTTATAATTTGGAATTGAGGGAGTAATAAACTTCAATAGTTTCCTTGAATCAAGGTTCCTCACTGATACACACAACACAAAAAAACTCACAAAAATCAAGCTACACAACACGTGCGCCAATCATATTAATGGTTGAGGATCAACACCAACGGATAATAAATTGCGTGCTGGATTGCAGATTTCATCTAGAAAAGAACAAAGCAGTTATAGTTAAACACCTGTTGCGTGCCATACACTGATGCATAAGGCCCTCCATACTGCGCAGCAGCCCCTTGTCCTGCACGCGCACCAAACCGACCAGCATCAGTGCCACCTGCCGCTGTAGGGGCTGCAAATCCAGTGCTACTAGGCTGAAAAAGAGAGAACATTCCAGCCAAAGCGGCAGGAACACAAATGATTATTAATAACGAATCAGCGTCCAGCAACAAAAGCAGCAGCCAGATCCTTCACAGAGCCTTACGATTTGGCCGTACGGCTGCTGCCCGCCATAAGGCGGCTGCTGGCCGTAGTGATTGGGCCCTTTGGGAGGAAACATGGCGGTCGCGCCCACCTAGGGGCTCCTGCACGGGAACGAGACCCGGACGAAACAATCCACGCGCACGAACAAGCGCCTGCGAGGAAAGAAGGAAACCCTAGATGTTTTAGCACCAAAAATAAACGAGACTACAACGAGTCCAACCCAATACAGCCACCGTATCCGCAGATTCGATCCGCTGCCCGATGCATGGGCTAGGGTTTACCCGCGAGATGGCAGTGGAGGCCAGATGGCGTCGGATGGAAGTGAATCCCCCGTAGGCCACGGCTTCAGGACAGTGCCGGACCGCCGGCCGGAGCCCGGAGGCAACGGTTGGCAGCGGAAGAGCGGCGAGGGTTGGCGGCGGGCGGCGGAAGGGTTTCGGCGAGGGGTTCGGAGAGCGCGAGATAGGGGTGTAGCCTGTTGCGCCTGTACGACCAAGATGCTCCGTTATTATTATTTTGCTCGATTTTGCAAAAGCTACGTATATATTGTAAATTCGACGATTCTAGGCCCCTCCGATGGGCTCATCGTGGGCTCGCATACTCTCATCTTACTTAGGCCACGTTTAGTTCCTCCGTTTTATAGAATTTGGCACTATATAAAAAGAAGATTTCTCGTCATATCAAATTTGCGGTATATGTATGGAGTGTTAAATATTGACGAAATTAAAAACTAATTGCACAATTTGGTTGTACTTTACGAGATGAACGTTTTAAGCCTAATTAGTCAACGATTGAACAATTATTATCAAATAAAAACAAAACGATAGTGTAGCTACAGCGATTCGGCCGACATCAAATCGGCCGAACTAAACGCGGCCTTAAATGAACCTCGAACCTACTATCTATCCTCAATTTAAGCAGCGAAGGTTTAAAAAACACATAAAGCTACCTATCATACTACATAAATTTATTAGTTTAATAAACTAGGTAGCATATCCGTGCGTTGGTACAGGATAACTAACATTTTGTACTTAAAAACATACGGATCATACGATAAGATAACAATACTGTAAAAATTAAATACTAACGTTAAAGTGATATTTAATTCAAAAAGCAAAGTTTATAAATTTAACATAGTCACGAAGTACGCGGCGTCGCAGGCTCACAAACTCTACTTTATAAACCTTTATATGGCTAAGATAATATTTTATATTGACAGAAAGAAATATCCGATATCCATTTCTTCTGTGCTCACAAACTAATGACCCTGGTACACCAAAGGGAAATACAAATGAGCTATCCTCCTGAATGTGCGGAACCAACGCCACTACGATTGTGCCATCCCACGATCACTGGTATGGTGTTGTTTGGCATTATTGTTCATTATTATCGCTAACTTGCTTCGTTGGTTTTATTCAAGTAATTTATGTTTGTAATTATGCAGGTGCTAATTCGGTTGATCCCATATTGTCAGAAAAGTGGGGAAAGTCGATAAAACTCATGGTTTTGAGAACATACACGTGTAATAGTTATGAATGGTTACAAAACAAAATATTATGAACAAAACACTCAAAGTGTTATTTTTATAACAATAATATAACACATGTTCAATTTTTATTATGCCATCACACAAGTGTATATACAACATCTCCGTGTAGAGTCTAATAAACCATTTAAAAATACCTAGAAACAGGAACAATATATGGTATTAGTGAGATATTATTTATACAATATAAATTGAATGGAAAAAAATACATTGTATACGTAAGTAATGTTCTGTTACCTCGCCTATGGCATTAGAACCTCCTTAAATACAATATTCAACGTGAAAGTTCCATTCGCTATTGGGGTCTTCTTATCCTTATCTTTTTTATTTGACACATTCTTATTTTTTTCCCTTGACATTTTTTTAGCATTTTTCTTCTCTATTTTTTAGCCTCCTCCTCTTGTGCCTCAGCATTAGGCGAGAGGGCAAGGATCTTAATATTGGTTCTTGACATGGCTCCAGACATCGCAACGTACAACTGACCATGAGAGAACACCGGTGCGGGTAGGTACACACCCACGTTCGGGATAGTTTAGCCCTGTGACTTGTTGACCGTCATGGCAAAGTTTAGCCTGATAGGAAACTGCTTCCTCTTAAACTAGAACGGGAACATCTCGTCATTAGACGGGCATAGCGGTATTCGAGGAAGGAATACCCGCTTCCCAGCATGCTGTCCCACCACGATTTCCGCGTCGATTGTATTTCTTCGGAACCCCCGCACCACCAGCCTTGTACCGTTGCATAGCCCATTGGCAGGGTCAATATTCCTAAGCAATATCACAGGACACCCGAGCTTGAGCTTCAAGACGTGTGGAGGCAGCCCGTTGGACATCAAACTGTTAAGGAACTCCGATGGATAGTAGTTATGTGGATCATCTATCGCGGAGTCAAAACTGTGATACACCGTCTCGCCGCCCTGGAACATATCAATCATTTTTATATTGATTATGTCCACCAAATCGTTATGTGTAGATAAAATCGCTCTGGTGGTGATGTAGTCTTTGTCCGCTATGTTTGCATTTAGATCTGGAAAGATAATGTCGATCAATGTATGAAAATCTTTCTCGGCATTCAGCGATCTATGTGTTTGCATTCAAAGATCATAGACTTTAGAATTGGGTAGGTGGCTTGCAACACAAGTGTAGTGCTAGCGTAAAATTCGCTTCGCCGTCTTATTTACTAATCACTTGTCTTAGTGTTGTTGTAAAATTTTTAATAGGCTATTCACCCCCCTCTAGCCATTATGACCTTTTATCACTGCGGCCACATACTGCAAGTTAAATAGAGTTTGCCAGGCATACATATCACTGGTGCGTCTTTACACCACTTTTCAACAGGTCTAGAATCAATCATGATAAGAATCTTCTTCTGCTGGTCGAAAATGTAAAGCATATACTTTTCAACATGTAGCCATGGCAAAGGAAACTGCAAACATAGTAGCGATTAGAATATTATATAGGAAACAAGTAATAAAAGCAGGAACAAATGACTTATGTATCTACACTATGATTGGCTTCTACTTTGAGATGTGTGTTCGTTAATAGTTTTACTATATTTTGTCCGTGTGATTTATGCGCTGCCACCCAAATCTTTTGTCGTTGGCTTCTACTTTGGGACGTGTGTTCAATGGTATGAGCCTTCTTCTGTTTTTCACAGATAAAGATGTTGAAATTGGTTGGCTTGATTACATCTTATCCATCGATATAGGATTCCTTTTTCCAGCCCTTGGCTTTTGCTTTCATTTAAATATGCATTCACAGTTCCCTCATAATAGTTTCCAAGAGATATGCCAATAGATCAACAAGGCATAAAAAAGGGAGAAAGAAAAATGTGCCATAACTATATAAAAATGTGCCACCGATATCGGCTTCAACCTCTGAGACTGTATTCTCTGATCAGTTTCTTCAATCTCAGCACCTTGCTCATTTGACTCCTTCAGTTCAGCATGCAAGGATACAATCTTTTACATGAATTAAGAAAAATAATGCACAGTATTTGAGGATATGGTCAGGGATTTTTTTCATGTCGTACGAGTGTTGCTTTCAAATCAGCCAGTGCAGTTTTGTTGCAGTGAGGGACCACATCCTTGACTCAGCTAAAACATTATCCTGCAAAGGTGAAGTTCATGTTTCAGACTTGTGACTTCTAACATCATAACAGCGGACAATTTGTCTTTTTAGTTTTCACAATCTCAGTTACATGAAAAGGAGAAAACCACTTCAGTGGCTTCATGTAGTGCCTGACAAATGCAATGCATCTGAAAAATGAGAAATTGGTTTACTGCTAGGACAAAACAGCAACGCGATGATCAACAAGTTACTCCTATCCTTGCAGCCTCAAGTACTCAGATCAGATGCTCATGTATTTTTATCAGAATATAATTTTCAGTGACAATACATTAAGAAAGTACCTCCTCTCAATGGAAGAAATGAGAAAACGCAGTCTACTGCAAATGGAGAGAATCACTTGAACTAAACAACATGGAGGGACGAGCTGATTCAAAGTATTCAACACCCGGCCACAAGTTCCAGTATATGAGCAGAGCAGTTTACTATATTGAAAAAAATGAACACATGTTAGATCTGATCTTAGAATGATCCCAAGTTTTAAGCTGAACAAAATGACACACATATCAATACGAAGCTGTATAAAGAAAGTGTAACTGTCTCCAAAAGCAACAACCGAAAAAAATCTCAACTGAATAAATCTAATAGATAATCCATTTTTCGTTTCTCCATTTCTAGCTGCTTCCCTCATCGACGACAGACAAATTACAAGTTGCATTCTTCTCCTCGGCATGGAAGTTCCAAGATGTCATCCCCATTATTTTATATGTATTCTAGTTAAGATATAAGAAAAAAAAATCATAACACACAACAAAAAAGAATATTAAGCCCTCCCTGTCCTTGCTTTCAAAGGTGTTAAAATCATATTATTAAGAAATAAAAACTGTGCAGGCAGATGCTAGCTCATGAATACAATTTTCTATACTCTAAAAGAGCAGAAAAAGATGTACTGCAATTTAGCATATGAAGAAGAAAACGTTCGATGTATTTCTTGTGCAATGATAAATCACTGACAGTTTCCATGACAATCAAGTTCAGGCTTCAGTAAAGATGTATGGCTGCTGCTACTTAACAAAAATTGGGATTGTTTCATTTAGTGCACTGAGCAAAGAGATTATTGGTTGTTCTTGTTAAGCAGTGCAGGAATAGCCAACTTCATGTGTTTTCGGTAACACATTCTTTCCCAGCCTATAGCCACCGGAAAGGAACTTATTTAGTCACGGTACAATAAATACTAAAGAGTGGACAGACGGTGAAACGAATCAATGGCTTTGTGGCACTTGAAAGGGATTCTATTGTGCGTGAAGTTACACATCAAAGCTGAAGACAAATGCACACTATTATACTGCAATACTCAATTCTCTAATCTCCAGGCAAAAGTGCTCTGCTAATGTTTAAACCTTATAATGCATTGGTGATGGTCTCTAATTAGAGTTTCTATATGCAAGCAGTTCCACATAGAGA